TGAATAAATGCTACTTTTATATCTTACCATAAATGGATTTAAAACAACAAATCTCTTCCACCAGGGACTAGAATGCTGTGTATGTGGTAAAATTTGTTTTTGCATCGTTTGACCTCCTCTCAGGTATCCAATATATTCATTTTCTCTTTCTCTGGTTTCCAGTTCTGGGGTAAAACAGCATTTCCACTCTTAACTACTCCTAACAAAGTGACTGATTCAACTCTTTGCTCTCACAAGCATACAGACATAACTTCACTGAGTTCTAGCACTTTAAATTCCTTTGATATTTTCTTTTGATGATAACCAATCTGCTTTTTAATTTTACTGGTCTCATCTGGAAGCACCTAGTACTTTTTTTCAGTTTATCTGAAGCACTTAGAGTGTCACCATATATTGTCAGTGTTCATTACGAGACCACTCAACATCTCAGATCAACCCTCCCGGCGACACTGTTGGTAATTAGCCGCAATGTGGGTCCCACCTTGCCAAGCGAAGGGCAAACCAAACATCCCTTGACCTTGCAACTGTCTTCCAGCACATGACGGAGGTTCCGCCAATCAGATATAATCTTGAGAGAGTGAAATTCTGAAGGAGGCATAATGGGAGGCTGCTGCTCCCACGAGACTCATCTTCTAATGAATGGGACATACACTCTGCTTTGTTCCTATGGGCGATGTTGGCACAACTCCTAAAACTTACTGAGCCTTTGGAAGGCTGTACTTGAGTGCTGCTCCTCTAGAGAACCCTAACCAAAGTAGGTACAATTCCCCAGCCTGTGTAAAGCAGTGCTCTGTAGCCCCTAAGTGAGCCGTTCCTAAATCAGCAAGTGTGAATTCTTTAGCTTACAGCCAAGAACAGTGATTCACACAGGAAGACAAGTTAGGACTGGATCTATTGTCATCAATTTTACTTGCAAAATTATAACAGAAGGGCCTTCATCCTATCTTAGAAATTCTCTTGAATTATTAAATGATAAATGCATCTGTTAACCTTTATCTGTTCTACCTTATTTAGAGATTACTATTTTAATTAACATATATCACAAATAAAATTATATTGATGTTATATGCAGCACTAATTATAATCACACATTTATACATTAATACAACTATATCACGTACTATATATATATATATATATATATATATATAGGCATATATTATACATCCTTACTGTACTATATATTTTTATGTAATTATACAAGTCCATGAGCATATATATATATATACTGCATGAAATGTATAGATACATATTTATATGTGATTACATATAGTTAGGCCTAGGAGTTTTGTATATCCCAACCTCTGTCAATCATAATTTTCTTATACTTATTAATTTCCAGTGAGTTTTGGGAAAATATCTACAACTTCTATTTAAGTGATTAGTCACTGAATTACATATTCCCTATCTTGCAGTTTTAATTTCAATAATCCTACTAATGTCGTAATTTTCTTTCCAGTGTTAGAGTGTTCCTCTTTCCAACTACCTACTGTATTTCCAAAATACACTACATTATACTATGCTAACACATTCTGAATATCATCACTGATTTAAGAAAAAAAGTTTCTCAGCCGTCTGACTCATCCAGTGAAGAAGGAAAAGGAGATGTGTCTTCTTTTGGTAAAAGAAAAAGGAAACAGCATTCTTACAACTCAACTCACAAGTGACATTTGTCACATTCACATATTCAGTGACCCAAATAAGATCAGTGCAAGCTTTACCTTTTAAGAAGGTATGCCTTGCTTTTTTGAGGCAGGGTCTCTGCAAGCAGTTCAGGATGGCCTTGATCTCTCAGCCATCCTCCTGCTTCAGCCTCCTGAATGCTAGTATTACAGGCATGCACCACTAGCTGTGTGTGTTGACAGTCAGTCCTGACCCTCACTTCTTTCTCATTTAGAACAGACGGCTTTTATAAAAAACATTTGGAATGAACAGTTTTTTTCTCTGTTAATGTATTCTTTTTGTTATTTCATTAGAAATTAGCCAAGGAAAGGGAAGATAAATCAGTATGCTGGAACTGTATGTTAAATATATGTTTTTCCAAAACTGTTGTTGTGGAATATTTGGTAAATCATTAATCCAGCTAGCCAAGTCACAAACAGAAATAAATTCACCCTTTTCTTTACACCTAATTTATCACTAAACCTTGCCAATTTTTCTTCTAAATTCTGTCAGAAGAACCAGAATGTTGATGTAAGGAGTCATATCAAATTCAATTTCAAGCAGGCATAGAGGCCTTCCCAGCCCACTAGGAGGCTGAGGCAAAAGGACTGCAAATTCAAACTTAGCCTAGACAACTCAGCAAGACCCTGTCTCAAAATAAAACATAAAAAGTGCTGGGAGCTTGGTACAGTGTGAAGACCCTGGACTCATGCTCTAATAACACTCCCCTCTAAAGTCCATTCCCAGATAGTTATAATAATGTCACTTTATATGTAATAGTAAATGAGCAAAGACTTGATAGCAAAAAATTCTGATAATGCTCCATTCAAGGAAGGACCAATTTTTCATATTTTTCACCAAAGTGCTGAATATTTTTAACTAATAAATGGAAAGATTGGTATTGAGCCTGCACAGTAAGTACTGAAGAATACTTGAATTTGAGGGAACTGGAAAACACAAAGGCTACATAAAATCATTCCTGGGAAATGTCATCAAGTTGAGTGGGCTATCACCAGGGTGCTGTGGTCACGCCTGCAGTCAGTACAAGAAGGCAGTTGAGTAAGTAGAACTTAATGAGGAATGCAGACCTTAGAAGGCTAGAGAGGAGATTCTGAAACATAAATCCTGAAGATTTCCACATCAACGACTTGTAACAAAACTTTCTTCTGTTTTCTAGCACTACGGTAACTAAGAAAAAGTTACAAGTGATATATTTAACAAGGACATTTTTTGTGATATTTTTATAATGGGTTTCAATTGGAAGACCTTGAATTCCAGGCACTAACATGCAGCAAATGATTTGTTGATGAAAATATTTTTTATGAGTAAGATGAATAAGCCTATAAAAACTCATGCATTCTTGTCTCTATCAATGGTTTATTATGACTGGAAGCATAGTGTTTTATTAATGAAGAACAAAACTGCTTCTTCCCTGCAAGAACACCTATCTTGTCATGCAAATTAAGGAACTTAAAAGATTATCCTAGCATTGAAGGTTCTTGCAAATTGGTTCTAGTTGATTTATAAAGGTACTCAATAGTCAACTGACTCCTTTTTTTTTTTTTTTCAGTAGGGGTCATCTTTTTGGATTCATGATAAAACAAATGCTTTAGGAATGTTAGGCATTAACATAGAGGGACAGTATTCATCAGAAATCTCACAGTATACTAATCTGTTTCAGCCAGGCTTTAGATTGCTTATTTAAAACAGGTAAAAAGCCACAGAAAGAGGCTGCAAAGCTACACATCTAAAAACAATCTCAAGTGACAAACCCAAACTAACCTATAAAATCTGCTTTAATTACATCTTCCTGGGAGGCAGATGCAGGGGCTGTGATTAGAAAAGGATAATACAAGGGTACCTGTGATAATGGAACTAGATTGCAATTTGACATGTTGATAACACATAGACTTGCACATGTGCCCAAACTGCAGGGATCTAAACACACACACACACACACACACACACACACACACACACACACACACATATGCACACATGTAAAAATAAGGGATATAAGTAAAATCTAGGAAATTCAATATAGCCAGTAAACTGCATCAATATCAATATGCTGGCTATGATTATATAGTAGAATTTTATAAGATATTATCATTTGAGAAACTGGATAAATGGTGCAAAAGATCTCTCTGAATTATCTGTTACATATACTTTAGAGTCTACAATGCTCTGAAAATAAAAGTGAAAAAAAAGCAGTTTGTCCACATTTCTCAAAGGCCGGCCATATATATATATATATATATATATATATATATATATATATATATGTGTGTGTGTGTGTGTGTGTGTGTGTGTGTGTGTGTGTTGGGAATTGAACTCAGGGCCCGATTCATCCTAATGAAAGAGTCTACCACTGAGACTCTCCCCAGACCAAAACTTCTCATTCTTCTTCCCTTGTGAGAGTAATCTAATAATTGCAAATCTACCCCTAGATGCCATGTCACTTAGTGAAGCACTTACGTTTGGATTTAATAGAGTAAGATGCAAGTAAGAATGTGGGAGAAGAAACATACACAAGGTTAACAGGACAAGTGCTGTCCCTCCCCTCCCTTGTCCCTTTGTCCTTCTGTTTCTTTTTCCCGGTACCCAGGGCTGAGGCCAGGCCCTTGCACACCACTGAACCACTGAGCTACACTCCCACATGTATAACTCCTTTTAGTTTTTTGAAAACTTCCTAAAACACCACTCATGGATGTATTTTCTTTTTCTTTTCACAACAGTTGCTTTGACTTTTTTGGTGGGAAGATTCTCATCATTAGCCTTTGAATAACCCTTCTGAAAACAGAAGTGATAATATTCCAAAAATACATTGTTTCAAAAAGCAGAAACACTGTTGATTATAGGAGCATTCAGAGACTAAGTGTATTTATATTTAATAATCCTTCCCACAACTAGTCTAATACATTCAAGTGTATTCACATGCCATATTTAACAATCATTAATATAAAAACACAAATGTGGAGATGCATTTGAATAAATGATATAGTGGTTTGTTTTGGAGACACTTGAACAATTATTGGATACAAGTTTGTAGTTTTTCCTTTTGTGGTCTATGACTAGTAACTTTGTATACAGAAGGGAAAGGGAATAAGAGTTTAGGTAATATTCAGTCTTCAGGGCTTTCCATCCTGCATATAGTACACATGGACTACAGCAAAAGCAAAAACCAAAAACCAAACAGTTTCAAGTTTTACATGGATACATGGCGTGATTAATAATAGGAATGTGGAATGCAACAGCATGATAGGGAAACTAATATAAGTAATTGTTCTAGCAGAGTCGGGGTATTGGTCTTTTAAGATGCAATAGCAAAAACTAACCTGAGCATGTGGGCAGCATTGAAGACAACATCAAACTCTGTGCTGTCCAGCTCAGCTGCTTTTTTTGCCATCTCAGCTGCTTCTAAGAGGCGAGCTTCTTCCAGAAGAAACTGACCTGCAAAGTATGAAGGCATGAGAAACTGAACCCAGAAATGATAATTGCATGAAATGATAAAGCTGTATTTAGAGGGGTCATTTAAAGTTAAGTTTTATGTCATGCTCCTTACTTAGTCATATTTTGTATCTCTTTCCTTCAATTTCAGGACATGTAAAAGAATCTATTTAGTATAAGTAAAAGTATTCTTTTCTTATAAAGAAATCCTGTCTTTTCAAGCAAGAAACAAACACATTTAAAGTTATACTATAAATATCCGTTGAGTAGATTTTAATTGTTACTCCTTTACAACTTCTATCTCTGACACACACATTTGTTTCTTACATTTAAGTAATTCTAAAATTAAAGAATAAATTTAATTATTGTTTAATAATAAAGACAGGCTTTGTAATAACAAACTCTGAATTAGGATTTGGAATAAAAATGGAATAAATATTAACATTTTTGAGACCACTCTCAGGTCAGCTGTTTTGCAAGGCTAGAATTGTTTAGAGACAGGGCTATATAACTATGTAAAAGGCACTTCAACAATTGTTATGTAGTGCTATCTATGAACTACAGCTAAAAAGGTAAAGTAAATGGAGAAGTTGGGCCCAATGTTAAAGCTACAAATATGCAGACTCAGAAAACTGGTTGCTGTTTTATGGATGAGGATTTACTGAGAGCAAAAGTAAAGGTATGAGGCTTTATCAAATATGAATATTCAAATAAAAATCAAACCAAAGGGTGACAGAACTCTAGGGAAGCCATCTAAGTATCTGCTAGGTCTGTGGCATTGTGGACTAATTATTTTCTCTTTTTATTGGGGGTTTCTCATTTGCCCAAAGTTCAAGACTATTTACCACTACAAAAATAGTCATAAGAATGATTTTCAAGTCATGAGTTGCACACTGAAACAGAAATGGTTGTTAGAAGAACCCACTATTGTCTAATAGCTACTGCAAACTGTATTTAACCCCAGAACATCTATTCTTCAAGTGAAAGGAGAAATATATGTCCTAAGGTTTATAAGAATCAATAGTCACTGCTCGTTTAAATATTTCTAAACTGTTAAAAATGGTGAGTAAATATAAATCTAGGATTATAAAGCCTACTATTTTAAACCAAAATAAAAAGGATCACATTGCTTTCTTACATTCTGTGCCTTACTCATTCTCAAAACACATGAAATTCTATGGTCAGATAATTATTAAGAAAATATAATTGTAAATAAATATTTAAAACAAAAACACTACTTTGAAATTTGTGTATATGTTAAATGTATGGATTATAGAGAGGAGATTAAAGTATGTATTTGTTTTTTTGAAAAAAAGTAAAAGTATGTATCTGTGGCACAATGAAAAGTTAGTTTCTTCACATACATCTTAAAAAGGGATGTTAGACTAAACCCATTTTTCAGTTATTTATGGTTGTTACAGATCAGATTATTTTTAAATTTAAACGTAATGTTGTTATATCTCCAAAACACAATAATTAAGTAAATGCATCAACAAATATGTTAATTATGTATGTGCTATTTAAACAAAGGACAATGTAGGAGATTATTTATTGCTCTTTTAATTTACTATTCTTTTTTTTCAAGGTAGGTATTAATGCTGAATTATAGGGCTCATTAAGAGTTAGAAAAATGCAAAAACTAATTGAAAATAATGAAGGTTATTTTATTAAAATATATTATCCCAGTCTGGAGAAGGAAAAGAAAAAATATTGACTCAGGCAATAAACAAACAAACAAATAGAAGGCAGGCCATGGGATCTATTGTGTTCACAAAAGAAACTGAGAGACACTGATGGATCATCTGGATAGTCACAATAATGATCCTCAGTAACACAACTCAAATGATTCCCAAGCAAAGCCTTTTAAGCTTTGTCAATGCTAGATCCATCTCGAATGTTCCACAACAAAAAAGGAATTGACATTTCCTATTGATATAAGTATAGCATAAAATCAAATCACTAACCCTTTTACAACTTAAAAACATTCTTTATGTTTAAATTAGATTTGCCACACAAAATGCTCCTTTTAAAACTGTTTACAAAGTCTGAAAAATACCCCAAATGAGTAATTCTTAGTATTACAAATGGCTTGCAATGGAAACTCCCACATGGACATTTTATAGCAGAATTCATTTATCATGTTAATATTAAAAATACTATTACAGCATAATAGTCACATATATTTGCACAATTACACTCATTCTTTTCTCAAAAGGCCAAATTATCTGAATATGCTGGTACTGATGTTTTGCAACAATAAATAAATACAGTAGTACTAAGTATGAATCATTTGCTTTTTTAACTGAATTTGAATGCCTAAACAAATATTGAAAATAATCTATTATCCAATTATGTTGTATAATAACCTCTCTCTTACAATGTAACCCAGAATCGATGGAAACCAGACTTTTGAACATTTCAAATACAAAGAACCAACACAAACAGGGAAATAAAGACACACTCCTTTTTTCCCTTGCAATGATGCAAAGAACCTCAGCTTACATATTATGAGAGGGATGTTACAGTTTGAACCAAAAATACCTTCTAAAAGGGTCCAGTATTCAGAGGTGGGAATTTTGGAAGGTGACTAGATCTCTACGGTGCTAACCTCTTGAATAATTATTAATTCATAGCAAAATTTGCTGTAAGGAGTGGGAGGCCTTCTTGGAGGACTGGCCCTTGATAAATGGCTCTGAAGGTATGCATTTACCCTTAGACTATTTTCCTTTTTCTGTGTTAACTGCCACGGAGCAAGACTCTTTCCTCTGCCATGATGTGTCTACTGTGGAGTCAGCTAACCATGCACCAGACCAAACAACTGAAACTGTGAGCCGAAATAAATTCTGTTCCATTGTATGCCTCAAGTATTTTGTCCTAATGAGGAAACATTGACTAACACAGGGAATAATAATAGAGAAAACTTGCTCTTTACTTCACTTCAAATTCCTACTCTGTGGCCAGTTTTACCTATTACTGCTTCTACTAGACACTAGTTTATACTTCCAGCTGAATTTCTTCATTTGTCTGAGATATTTGGCCTCTTGCACTTCTTGGATTCTAAGGCTGCCCCACTCCAATCTCTAGTTCTGCTTTTTAACCTATTATATTTCTCATTTCTATGCTCTAAAGATTTTCTTCTAATAAAGACTTCTAAGACCAGTTTCCAATAGTGTTAGAATTACTTATGATTTGGTTTCACTATAATATAACTTACCATATAAATTTACCATGTAAGGAGTACTTAAAAGAGCAAAAGGGAATACTGTAATTTATGTTTGAAGGATGTAACCAGAAACGTCCTTTTGTAATCAAACTGCACAGAGCATAGGTAGAACTCAGGATGTGGATTTTAGTTCCGTCTTCATCACAAGTGGAAAATGGGACTGTTTGTACCGTAACGGAAGGAACTACTGTTAGCAAGGACATAGCAAGGACATGGCAAGGAGATGACAAGAAGATGGCAAGGAGATGGCAAGGTATTCTTCACTGAAGAATCACCGTACCAAGACTGAGGTTTGTGAGTAGAAAGGGCTAATGGTGTTCAGATAGTGTGTGTACTATGAGATGGAGCCCAGCTTCTAAACAGCAGGCCATAGAGATTCTGCCCACATCCCCGATTCCGTAAGTCCTGAAAGGTTACCACCGTATCATAACCACCTAAAGGATCTGATAGTACCAAGAGCAAGGTCCCCTGCCCTGGATTTTAGATGCAGTGAATAGAGCCCAGTGGAGCCTGAAATTTGCATTTTGAGCAAATTCTAAAGTGATGCTGATGCTGCTACTGCATGTCCTCACTTAGAGAACCAATATAAATGTTTTCACTATATTCCGGACTCTAATTATACATGACATTAGCTCCCAGGAAGACTGACCTCTTTGGTAATCTATAGGTATCTGGCAGCCCGGTTCCTAAGTTCTAGTGCAAAATGACTACATGTGTGACAATTACATGACAGGTACATGAATAACATATTCATTAAATATAAGGAAAGTTAAGAGTTTTGTTGTTCATATGTAGGTTTATGAGCAATCTCTTCTTTTTCAAAAACACATGCACAGACAAAACATGCTTTATGTTTGATAATTGAGTAGAATTGCAAATAAAGAAAATACGTTTTTGTTCTTGTGTGTACTGTTGCTACCACATTTTCTTTTCGTTTGTAATTTGTCTTGTCCAAATTAATTATCATCATCTTACCTCATTATCTCAAAACAAGAGAGAACAAAAAAAGGAAATGTAAAAAATAAGTTGAGGAATTACAAAGAAAAAAGTCACATGAGTAGGGGAAAAACAGAAGATGACTAAAAAACAGGAACCAATCTTCAAAGATACAGAGATAAAGAGTGTAACTCTCCACATGGTGCAAAATTTCTATGCTGTAAACAGAAGAGAAAGAAGAAAGAAAAAGCAATTCCTGTTTTGGATTCAACTGTTTCAGTACTAGAGTTACATACTTTTTTCTCCGAATACTTTTTTTTTACTTACTTAATCATTTGTTTATTAAATTTTTAACCAATATTTCAATATGATAGGACTGTGAAAATCAATCCTTCGTTAATTCCTGGACTTAAAAAGCTTTGCTATGTGGTAAAAATCTGTACAGACAGAAGTAATTCTTAAGCTCTAGGTTCAACTATTACTTTGGGAAAAGTCTACGTATAAATTCTTTGGATTAACTGGGACTGGCATCTCTTGCCAAAAATACTAGGAAAACATCACTCTTTAAGATCAAATTAAAGACCTGAAATAAACGTGTCATGAAGATACAAATCTTTCTAGGAACAATCAACCATATGTATCTTCAAAAAATGTTCAAAGGCAATACAAATCTTATTTACAAAGTATAAACTAGAGAGTTGCATTCATATTCAGCAGATAGCTGCTCACTGAAATGTATCCAGAATCATTTAACCTCTACAACACCACCATGTTTCAAACCACATCTATCTTGTCCTGGCTTCACATTATATATGGTCCTGGCACTCCTAATCTTCATGTAGTG